TCAGTCTTTCCAGCTCTAAACATGCCGAATATACCATCGACCGCGTTCTCATTCCTGACCAAGCTGAGCACCGAAACCCACGCGTATTCTCCCCACCGTATACAGAAACCCCTATCAGAGACGTCCACTCAACGCTGCAACTATCAGTCATCTACTAAATGTTATTGCCCTGAAAACGGCTAACGGGTCCTACAAGTACGCATGAACAGTATTGACTGTATTGCCACCCCGCCGGCCCCGCCCCTACGCAACTTTATCCAGATTCTACCTGCTGTCTGATCTCAGGTCGAACAAAAAAGGCAACGGCATTGCTATTACTCACCGCTACAGCCAACAGATTGTTACCCGTTTGTGTTCGTTCTCCTCTTCGGGTTCTTGGTGATATCAATAAGCTCTCTAGCAGATATCTCCTACGACCATATTAGGTTCAATCCAACGGGTCCAATTCTGTTGAACAACTTTTGAAGACACCCTTGAACTTGCAGCTCACTCGCAGAAACACATGAATCATTTGCTATGCATATGTATCGTTGCTTTGTATCGTTGCCTTAGTGCGTGTAATCTCTTTGTATGTGCATTGATTTTAACGCTGCAACTGCAGCGATCATCATGATCAACAACACTTATCGGGAACTCTGATAGTCGCGGAAGTATGTATTCTCCTTGGTTTGTTCTCAGTGTTGTATTCTTTTCCTTCCATTACCTTCTATAGTCCTATTTTGTATTCCCTTTGTACTTCCTTTCTCCTTGTATCCAGGGCTGGTCATTCGTTTCGATCCTTTTCAAGTTCCTTTCCAAATTTGAAGTTCCCAGTCCCACTTGATCTTCTGATTATCTTCTGATTCTCCCTGTCTCCTGATTTTTCGATCGATATGCTTGCAGTTGCGTCCTCACATAGGTTGAGCTTCTCATAGCTTTGAGCTGCACTCCAAGTCTAATGATGTTACTCATATACAACTCTTTTACTCAAGGGTTGATACTTATCGCCACTTAATGATCAACGATCAGTCAGTCAGAGGTCAGTGATCCCCGAACTCCTCGGTTTCTTTCTAAATTTTGAATCCAATGTTCGGTTGAGTTGAACAGTTAAATTTCTCTCAAGAGTTGGATGTGAAATCATACAGCATCGCCATCGCCAAGATACTACTACTATCAAGTACTCTTGCTTGCTGACACACCGAGGCCGAATTCCACTCATTTTACCCGAATCACGAGCGGATGATCTTGATGCAAAGTGTTCGACAACGGCAAACAAGTGGTGGCCCACCTACCTCGCAACTTGAAGAGGTCATAGTGTCACCAAAAGAGTTCAGATGTCGCCACACCCACGGTCTTGCTCATGATCTACAGGACCACACACACGTTTTCTATCCTATGGATCCTGGAAGCTGTGTTTGGAGCAACTTGGAATAGTTGGTACCTCAGGGGCCGTATAGTCGTGTTGGATCAAGTGGTACGCATCGCACTCGGGGATTTATTATCTTGAGACGACTAACTATAGAGGGCCTGCAGAGTAGTAAGCGACTAAAAATACTAGTATGGCAGTCTTCTCGTAGCTGAACTGTTTCATCTTTAAGCTCCAATCTTCATGTCCAGAGAATCTCATTCAAGATGATGAAAACCAAGTATGAACATATCCGTTTTTGGCTTCACTCGCTTCCCCAAAGACATCACGGACCATATTCGGACCATAGGTTTTGGATACGTATGAACGCTACTGCAAATACTAAACAATATGTAGACTCTTTCGGGGTCTTTCGAGACCAGCTAATGCCTAATGCCACCAGGGACGACGATTATCATGTAGATCAAAATGTCTACCGCCAAAAAGTCTACGTCGCTGTAAAGTCTGGCGTTGTCTCCTGCTCTGAAATGAATAATCTCTGCTTATCACTCCGCCCAGATAGACCCCGTTTTTCCCTGCGTCCCCTGCGGACCCACTTCTTCGCGTATAAATGTAAGGATACCGAAAGAATACCGAATAACGGATACAGAAACAGCAAAACTCGCCTCAAACCTGTTCCAAAACGGATCTCCTGCGTGCTGTGAGGCGGCTAGTAACTGCGTCTTTATTTCTTCATCCGTGCCATGCCCGTACTACGGGTACTACTCTAGCAGCATATCGGTCTCGGTCTTCCTGTTCAGAGTGATTGATATTGGAGAGCACCGGCTGGTGGCACACGACAGATGGCTTTCAAGTTGACGTGCCGAAAGCAGACCAGTGTATGTACATAACCACCTAATGTTAGGGGATTTCGTTCGGTGAATGACTTTAAGTATGTATACTGTCTATCTGGCTCAGATCCAGATTACTTTACTGTGTAGATACTTGTAGACATCGCAGTTTGAACGCTGGGTGGACCAGATGCCAATCGAGGACTGTATTGTGTGACAACTGAAATGATTCTCTGCCAATCACCGGGCACCGGGGCAAAGTCAGATGCACCGCGTGTGCTGTTACCAGAACCGGACAAGGTTTACAAAGCTTCACACCGGGCGAACTGAAACGGACGTTTCAACTTTAATAATTTCTTTTTGGTTGACAAGTTGGCTCTCATCAATGTACATCAAACAATGATGCGGAAGAGAATCATTTCAAGTAATAGCTGGCTGGCCAAATTCTTCTTTCTTTTTGATGTCCTACCATCACCATTACTAGTAGTACGGTGAAATTTGTGGCTCCAAGGTGTGTACTCTCCGACTTGACAGAAGCTGTGTCGCTCAACATATCAGCTCCTAACCAGATTCTGTGAAAAGGTAAGTTTAGAGTCTGAAGTCATATCGAGAAACAAGTTGTTTATGGATTATAGATTGAAATGGCTGTCATGACTAGCCATCCGCCGAACGTACATACGCAGGAGACGATATCTGCGCCCTCTTCTGCGCCAGTGCACGGTAACCGCCGAAGTCTAAAGACATTGCTCACCAACTCTGGTTCCCATGCGCAGCCTCTGCCAGCTCGCCCGCGAACAAACTCGATGACCACTCGGCCAAGCCCGCGGTTCCACGTTGCCAATCCGACTGAATCCAATAGGCCACTACCTGCGCCAAGCACAGGTTCAGATACTACTAGACTTCATATCAATACAACAGGCTTACACGACTCATCAACTTCTAATCCTTCTACCTCTTCTTCCATATCCATTACACCGAAACACATGTCCAAGGTTAGCCTTCCAATTGGGCCATCTAGGACTACTCCAGTATCTCCCGTACGCCGTCCTCTTCCTGCTCCGCCAAAGTCGACGCCAACGCCAAGTCCCCGTCCTCGCTCAAGCTCTCGTGGTCAACCACGCTCACGCACAAACTCGGCCGCAGGGCGCGCAGACCCAAACACTCGCCCTCAACTTGCCTTTGATCCCACTTCCAGTTCATATGTCATTAAAACTTCCCGCGAAATCAATGGCCACATCTCTGCGCCTCCAGCACCAAAACCTACACGTCTCCATTCGCACAATAGATCGCGCAGCGCACAACTCAGAAACTTCTCTTCCTTGGTTCTTCCAGATGTCAGAGACATCCGCGAAACACCGACATGGAAAGGAAAACAAGCCGTCCGATCTGCGCCTTGTTCAGATACAGAAGATACCACTCCTCCTCGTACCCGACCACCCCTTGTTTTGCGCAATCCAACAGAATCCTCCGTTGTTCGTCCCCCAGCTCCGTCACGGCATACTGTAACGTCAGAATTAACCTCACCACTCCTATTACCACCGACAGGCTCTATCAAAGACATGTTACCTCAGCTTACTACATCTAAAGCCTCTTTCGATCCACCACGGCGTACGCCGCCCCCTGCAGCAGCATCTAGAGGAATTCTTTCATCATCACAACCTACAAACTTGGATATCGGCTTCGCAGAGCCAGGATACGTTGATGATTCACGGGTATATGTCGATGATGGATACGATGGACCAGGAGGACTCGGTGCATTCAGCACGTTGGTAGATCCAGACGTGGATTTAGATATCGGCGAGATACGATTCAACACCCGGCCTCCTTCCGGCCAATTCATGGCTCCTTCGGCTTCCATCAATGTCATGTTGGACCTTGACGACGATATGGACACGGACACGCGGGGAAGGCATGTTTCCCGGCCGTCACAGTCCCTGCGATGGAAATCTGCAGATCGTGCAACCGTTGCTGCAACCGCTGATAGTGGTGCTGATTTACGGCGTCGCGCATCCGGGAAAGACACCACTTCTAGTCGTAAACCTTCCACCAAATCCACCAAATCTCAGACAACGCGTAATTCCAGCCAAACAACCGTGATAATGTCGAGCCTCAAAGCACATATGCGTCCTCTTCCCCTGCCTCTAACTCCGCATTACCCTCCATCACCCCTCCCGCCTTCACCCTCATCTGAACTGGGCCCTATTCCCATAAACATGGATCTAGAGCCCGACATGGTCTTCTCCAAAAACCCCGCACCTTTTACACCTACCTCGGCCGTTCCGGGGGTATTGGATCTAATGGATTTTGATACTGGTTTTGGGCCTCTGCGGCCTACTCGTTCGTCGGATTGGGTGACACAGACACCTAGTAGAGAAAAGTCGAGGTATCCAGTGTCGGGATCTGGGTCGCAGTTTGTACCTTTGAGACCAAAAGGATTTTATGAAGATTGATTCATTGATTGACTATAGTAACATCGCATACTTACACACTTATAGCATTGTCAATTCGATTCTGGTCGCGCAGAGCAGGCAGAGGGAAGTGTAATACTATATTACACCCACACACATATTTTTTGTTGTTTTTTGCACGTTATACCACAGCGTACATACTGTATCTATCGTTGATTCTGATTTGTTGGGAATACGGAATGAAACTGGTCTAATCTGACAGGCATTTGGACTATCACAGGTACTTGAAAGCGACGGCCGCGATAGACAGGTTATACAGATTATTCACGAACCACTATTCAACCCATCTTCAACCCATCTTCCTAGTCACCAAGTACGAAGCAGTGAATGAACAAAAAAAATCATTTTGTCTATGAATGGTTCGACCCGGTCTCGAACCGGGGACCTCCTGTGTACATCCAATCCATAAATCACCGATGTGAGACAGACGTGATAACCACTACACCACCGAACCAATACTTTGATAAAATGATCAATGTAATCACATTTCATGGCCCAGTTCGAAGTTAACCGCTGAGCTCTAAAAGTTGTACATAGTATGTATTCTCTACACCCAATTGAAGGAGAGCAAACCACCGTAGCCGTGGCTGGTCGGATTTTACTACTCACGACCCCGCAGCGCGTTCACCCCATGCGCGTTGGGCCGTCTACTCATGAAGAGTGTTCGGTTTCTATGTGTTGAATCTCACGAAAACCAATTCTGTGTTCTCCGCTCGGCCTGGAATTCGAGGTCTGGAGGTAATACGCGTTCGATAGAAATAGCCAGCGGATACAATAGCTCTTTTTCGGTACAATGACGTGCGATGTAAATCATAGGACGCTTCGAAGTTCAAGTTAGTAGCAGCTACCGTCTATACGTCCACCTAACACTTAACATCAACATTTAAAATTCTGACAAACTTTCCATTGGGTCCGTTTGGGTTTGATGTTCAGTTTGAGATAAACTTGAGAGCATTTCGAGGTTTAGAAAGCTAACTTCGCCGCAGGGATTTTGGGCAGTGGGGGGAGGTAAAGTAAACGACGAAATATGTAGCCGAATGAAAACCCCGAGCAGTTGAGTTTCAGACTGAGCTTGGGCAGCTGAATGTGGCAGAGGAATATGTTTGTAAAACGAATCCCATTACATTATCAGCACTACGTGAATCTCGGGATCCAGAAAACGCTGACCAGTCTCACAGACTGGTACCTTTGCCAGAAAATCATCCAAGACAGTGTCAGTATTAGAATAAAACGCATAGCCCCTGCTTGACTCTTCATATACTTTGTGAATGGAAACCTTCTGCAAAGAACAGTCCGACCAAAGTAACATCTCGAGCAATTCACCGAGCACTCGTCTATGATTAGTAAACGTAATATTAACTTCACCTGGGTTCTCCAAGTCAGGGTATGTACCATTTCCATGCGCTTTAATATAGAAATGCGCTAGGGGGTCCTCCAAGTCAGTGTATGTACGATTGCCATGTGCTCTGATATACAGATGCGTTAGGTTGGGCAAACGAATGAGTTCCCAGGCGTTTCTGGGAAAATGAAAGCTAGAACTAAGACGGGAAAGGTTTAACGTCGTGAGATGGATATGAGAGAAGGGACTTGACAGATTGACGGCGGGGGTGTTAGCAACAAGGCACAATGTCAAAGTCTGCAACAGTGGACACCTCTGGAGTAGGACAACAAACGAAGGACCGCCGTAAATCTGTACTTCAAGGGTAACCAGATTTTGGACGTCTATTACATCAAGATGAGTAGACTTGAGGTGTTTTATATGCAACTCTCTGAGGGAAGGGCAGCACATGTATAACCCACCGAAATCATAATTCGAGTCTACGTCATCAAGTGTTAGCCTTTGAAGGAGAGGCAACGGTGAAGAGGCGGCGGCAGCTTGTTTCGACATGATCATGGCAGCAAGCTGATCCATGGCACTCCTATTGAACTCCACGAGTTTTAGGGATTTCCACCTATTCGTATAGTCTACCAACACATCCAAGATGGCGGTGGGGCCTGGAAAGGTGAAAAAAAGTGGAAACACTGGATGCAGGGAGATATCCAATGGCATAAGGGACCCGGAACGTGGAATAAGACATTCTTTGAGAAAACGTTGTCTCTCAACGGCACCAAAGGCAAAACGAAATGAGAAATTTATCGAAGACCAGAAAACAGGCTGCGAGAGAGCCAAGTCCCGCCACCAGACACAAACCCATGTTATTTTCAGTGCATCGAGCCCCTCGGAAACGCCCCCAGATTCAATCGGCTTTTCTGTAACAATATAGCTGAAGATTTCAATCATGATGTCTGGGGGAAGGCGTCGTATTGGGGAAAGTAAAGATAATTGGAAGTCAAGGATTTTCGAGAGGCGATCCCGAGATCGGGGAGCAGAGATTCTCTGTAAAGCATGACGAGTTTCGTCGACGAGATGTTCGAACTGTGAACACTCGGACAGCGACATTGGAGCATCATTTAACCTGCATCTGGTGTGGAAGTCGTCAAAAGATAGATTGTTGGGAGAGCAGAATTCAGACTGCAATGAGAACAAGGGTAAGATTAATCACTGTAGTCTGTCAGTAACTTGTCAGCTAGTACCCACTCTGTAAACCTGCTTTGCATTTTCGGATGTCATAGCGACAGACCGAGGGGCCTCAACCGATACTACCTGTGTGGACCTGTTGGTGGGGCTACAGATGATGGTCGTAGGTGAACAAGTCAAGTCGCTGTGTGAATTGACGGCAATCGCTTTGGCGTGCACGGTGATTTATTCAAATTAAACATACAAGTCGGAGTTTGTTCAAGTAGTTTATCTATTTTACTGCTTTCTCAAAATATTCACTAACTACTTCACGTCGTCGTCGCACAATTATTTCTGTTTCAATCTCGAAACAGAAACCCCAATCCGCTCACAAATAGACCTCCCGAACTCGACTAAAGTCCTTTGTGACTGTGATTGACGACGATGGTGGAATTTTGGAAATCTGTTGCCCAACCACTGATAGTTCCTGTTGACGTCGCACACCTCTTGGAGTAGTTCAGCCACTATCACATATCTAGATTATCTATCGTTTAAAGTTACCAGGACAAGTTTGACTCAGCCTCAAACTTTACTAGCGACTTCGCTAACGAGAAAGAGATGACTGGTCGTGTACGACAGTCACAATGCACATGACGCAAACTGTGACACACAGTTTTGATATCCCTCTTTCTGTGTGTGGCCGAGTGGCAAGACCCTCTAAATGGGAGCTAGTTCCTATGACCCTACGGATTGTGAGACCGGAGCCTAGGAGGCATTACTTGGCCAGATAGAGAAATGAAACCGAGACATAGCGTGAACATGGAACCGTAGGTATCGGGTGTTAAGGGCAATAAGTCCTGCCGAAGTCCAAGCCTTCTGTAAGCCCTCCGAACTACCACACCAACATGACACCGAGAGCTGTTGGTGGAGCTCTACGTAGTACTGGTTAGCCACGGGTGGCTGAGAAGCTCATGGGCAGATGCTCGTTCTGCAGGATCTATCACCAGCATCTTCTTCAAAAACGAAAGCAGTTCCTCTGATGGCGGAGGCTGGCCTTCGACTTCCATTAAAACAGAGAACACTGCCTCGAATGTCGCCGGAGGAGGGAGGGGCAAGAGTTCCTCCCTCGGAAGCGCTATTACAAACAAATTACTTCTTGGGTTAACATATTAGAAGCACTTGAACTCACCGGTCTGTATATCAAACCAGCCTCTGCCTTTACGGCTTCGTTCAAGAAGAGGAATCGGAAATTTGCCGAAAATAAGATACATGACCAACGGAAACGTGTCCGCTTCCACCGAATCTGGATAGATGGTACGTGTAGTTAGAAGGTAGATGACTCAAGCTGACACAAGGTAAGCATTAGCCTAGGTGCAGGACAGTAACTTCACGTACCATTGAGCCAGCGCTCCAGATATCAGTTGCTGTACCCTATCGTGCTTGAATGAACACCTCTAGAGGACGCGTTGCTGGTGAAGATATCGTATATTCACAAACGCTTTCCGAAGGGCATGCTAAAAGGAATTAGACTTGATAACTACTAGAAGTATATCGATTAAGTACCCACCAGAGCCAAAATCTGCCAATACGAATCGACCATTCTTCTGCCACCACTCTCTTTCAAATATGTCACCATCGGGTACTCGCCCATAGGATTTGCCCTGGTCAACACTGTTGCTTCATTGAATTTATCTATAAAGTCAAACATCTCCACAGTACCAAGAAAAGTATTGGAAGGAGTAACGGGGCAATTCACACGCATTATGATGTTTGAGAACTTTACATCTGAAACACTATGTGAGAAATCGCACTAAGAAGATACTGTGGACTCGCACCTGTATGGATTAGATGACATACCGTATGGCAATAGTCCAAGGCTGATAAGACATCACGCATGATCATTTTTGCTATAAACTCCGGACATCTCTTGTCCTTTGGGAATAGGAGGCTAAGGGTGGGGAAATCGAATCCCAAGAGCTTCGTAACAAGACAGTTATGCATGCCATAGCGACTTGGAGTAGAGAACGAGTCCAAAAGACGAGGAATACAGTGGTAACCGGGGTGACTAGGATCTCCTGCTGTAAGACGCTTCGTGACTTGTATCTCTGACGAATCTGGGTTCTTAAAATCTCTGGCCGTCTGTTCCGCTAAATTTTTGCAAGCGTTAGAACACGTAGACATTGAGACATTAAACGTGTTTCGAACCAGTGAAAATCTTCATCGCCATACAGTTTCCGGTCCTGGAGGTTATTTTAGATTTAATCAGAACAGAGGAATACACATACGTACGCACTCTCTCGACCTTGGGAAAGCCAAACGGTTGACTGTATACCATGGCCAAGTTTCTGAATAATCTTGTAACGCCCGTGATGTAGTTGCTCGCCTATTACGGTTGGGCGATATCCACCGCTTCTGTAGCTTCCGAGTGGTTCTGATAGAGCGATCCATCCTGGAAGGGTAGCAAGGTAATCGGAGAACTGTTGTTCAGTTGTAGACTGTTGTGTAGCCGTGGACATGAAGCAGACACCTTTTACTCTTGGGAATGGCTGCAAAGAATGCGAACGTTCGACTTGAAGAGGTGGAAGCGACGAAAATGGAGATGAAAATGCATGTTGTTGTTTGTGAAAAGGAAAGGAAAACCGACGCGGTAATAGGAACAGTCGGGTCATGTGCGCCCCCGGCAGTCCTACGAATCATGATCTCCTACATTTGGAACGTGTAATCTCTTGACTTGAATAGTTCTAAGGGACTCCTCAGATATTCTGAGCAAAAAAGGTAGAGCTTGAGGTGATACGCGTCACGGTGTCCTTGAGCTTGCAGTATCTGGAAGCTATAAACTGTTATATAGTCCATAATTATCCGTTTCAGATTCTCCCATGTCTGCAACTGCTGCCTATAGCCACCCTTCCTAGTGCCAACTCAAAAGATTCATGTCAACGAGAATGTCGACCGGCCAG